CAAAAGTGCAAAGTGAGTGCTGGTAGGGTGAAGCTAGAAATGTATAGTACATTTAGATGGTATGTATAGATGATGATTGTTTTAAGTGAAGGATGAGCAGGCAATTGAGAAATATTTGAAGCTAGTGGCACAGGATACGACATTTAAAGTTGCATTCACTGACCTTGACCACTCATGTGAGGCCATTGAACTTCTTTTGCCACTGCTTCCAGGACTTTATACTGCTATTATTGATCATGACTGTTTTATACTGCCATTGCTTTTACAGTGTCTGTCTGGAGGGCCTCCTAGACCCTTATGGATAGATAACCTCTTTCCTCATGTCTGTCTCCTGCATTGAGTGTCTTTTGCTGCATCTAAGATCCTCAAGGTTCTCTCTCTGCCCTGTTTCACCATTTGTAAGTGTTCTTCCTGTTCACAATGGCTTTGGCGAACAATTCCAACAGCTGTGTAGTCTGGATGCAGAATTGCAGGCCAGTTGTAAGAAGTGTACGCTAGCTTTAAGATAATGCTAGCTCTCACAAATGGAGCTTCTGATGAGGAATACAGTGACTCAAAAACATATTTAGCACTGGTTGGCACGGTACCATAATTTATATTCAAAGGCAGCATGAAGCTGGTGTGCTGCTTGCATAAAAGGGAGTGGGTGCGGATTAATCACCCATTGCAATCTTTGTGCCAATATTGGTGCCTTTCCCAATGTGACCCCAATTATATTAACAGAGTGCAGCCATGTTGTGGTTAGTATACGACAAGAGCAACCCAGAAATTTTAGAGTGAATTTTGCTGCATCCACAGAAATAGGTTTGGATGTGGGCCATGGAAGGTAATGAACGCATCTCGCATTTGGGTGGCGCCCCCTGCATTCACCTGCGAGTGATCTGGATGGAGGCTGAGCCATGCCCAGCAGCAGTGGCAGCTAACTAAGATCATTCAGTACCTACTTGGGTAAGAGTGGTGCTGTGCCTGACACTTTCCTGAATAGGACAGGACCCTGCCAAGGCTGAAGCCCAACCGTTGCCTGGAGGTGGCAAAGAGGGCAAATGACATCTTTAAATCCCTCCTCCCAACTATTGGGACCACTAGTGTCAGAGCTGCAATGGTAGGGATGCAGGCCTGTAGAGAGGCTGTCCCATGCACAGAAAGCCTGTCAACTGTAGCTGCACTTGTTTTTAACAATTTCAGAATGTAGATTTCAGAGGTTACCTCCACCTACGTCAGCAGCGTCTACCTCTCCCATTCGAATTCCAGCTACCCAGAGTCTGAAGAACTCCAAATGTCCATCTCACCCGTAAAACTCATGTGACATTCCTGGTTTAGGGGTCCCAGAGACATCCTGATCATCAGTTAGGCAGAAAATCGCCAAGATTGGACCGACAGATGGTTCTGAGTTTGAGGCTCTCAATGCAGGAGAATTCGGCCATTTAATTCCAATTCCATGGAGGTAAGTTCTGAATCTATAAATCAGAAAATTTGTGAACAAAATTGTAAAAGAAGTTTTATCTTCCTGCGCCTATGGTAGCTGGCACTATAAATAATGCCATCTCCTCAGGTTTTGTCCCTCATGAGTTAAAAATTGTTCAAGCCTTATTGGCCTGTGACCAACTTCCTTTTCCACTCCAAAGTCCTTGACTTGTTTTTTCATCACCTACAGCTCCTTGTTGAAATCTCTCCAGTTAGGTTTTGCCCTTGCCACTGCATTGAAATACTCAAGTGGAATGCAGCAGGTCAAGGAGAACACTCATGAATACTTTCTCAGGGACCTAGGAATCGGCAATAAATGCTGCCTTGCCAGTGCAATTGCAGCCTGCAAACAAATTAACAGCAAAAAAAAACAGGGAAATTACAGTTCCAGCTTTGCAGATTCAAGTCTTCCCTTTATAAGTGTAATTAGTTAATTACTGTACTTCATTATTTGAATTTTACTGTCGCACCTCATTACTTGTCGAGGTACATTTAAAACATACGTGAGCAAACTATTCAGGAATGTGTGTATGCCGTTAAGTGTACATTGATACACATAACCCTTTATAGAGAACTGCCAAGATCTTTCAGATAGTCAAATGCGTTTCTGTTTTGTGACATGAGAGTATGTGAATGGATCCAAGAGATAGGACTCATTTTTAGTTCTAAAGTTAGAGTTGTAGAGTTATACAGATGTATCGCACGGAAACAGACTTTTCAGTCCAAATCATCCATGCTGACCAGATATCCTAAATAAATCTACTCCCGTTTGCCTGCATTTGGCCCATATCCCTCTCAACCCTGCCTATTCATATACCCATCCAGATGCCTTTCAAATGTTGCAGTTGTACCAACTTCCACCACTTCCTCTGGCAGCTCATTCCATACATGCACCACCCTCTGCTTGAAAAAGTTGCCCCTTAGGTCCCTTTTAAATCTTTCCCCCTCCCTTTAAACCTATGCCCTCTAGTTTGAACTCCCCCACCCGGGGAAAATACCTTGTCTATTTACCCTATCCATGCCCCTCATGATTTTATAAGCCTCAATAAGGTCACCCCTCAGCCTCTGACACTCCAGGGAAAATAGCCCCAGCCTATTCAGCCTCTCCCTATCGCTCAAACTCTCCAACCCTGGCAACATCCTTGTAAATCTTTTCTGAATCTTTTCAAGTTGCACAACATCCTTTCTATAGCAGGGAGACCAGAATTGCGCGCAATTCTGCCAAATTAGGCCAAAGTGGCCTAACCAATGTCCTCTACAGCTGCAACATGACCTCCCAACTCCTATACTAAATATACTAACCAATAAAAACAAGCATACCAAACACCTTCTTCACTACCCTGTCCACCTGTGACTCCACTTTCAAGGAACTATGAACCTGCATGCTACAGAATTGTACACACCACTGTCAAAAATACCAGGGTGTTGGTCTTTATTTTGACCCAGACCTGTTTCATGCATGTTCCTTTACTCAACATCCAGCATTTCTATTATTAAGCATTTAGTTCCCCAACAAGAGAAATATAAACTTAAACCCAAAGTTTCAAGGAAATTGAAATTGTTTCTTTCTCATTTAGTATGTTCTTTTTTCCATTTCTTGGCACACAGTGATGATCCCAGTACTGGTTTTTCTGTTCTGTTTTAAAACAATCAACCTCTTAAATGGGATTAATAAACTATTTATTGCAAAATCCTGCTGTGTTCATCCAGCTCTACACCTTGTTATTGTAAAATCTCATCTCGTTCTAATGCCTATGAACATGTTGAACTTTATTACACGAAACATGAAGTCTGATTGTAAGACCAAGCTTGAAAATGTGTGATAACAAGGTGTAGAGCTGGATGAACGCAGCAGGCCAAGCAGCATCAGAGGAGCAGGAAGGCTGACGTTTCGGGCCTAGACCCTTCTTCAGAAATATTTCTGA